GGCTCTTAAAGTGGTGTCGTCGGCAAACTTGACTTTACTCTTTGCCGCTTGATTGATTTGCACAAACCAATCCTTTCGACCCGTCATATGTGTTGAACAACCGGAATCCAAGTACCACTCATCTTTACTTTGAACTTCATCACGCATAGTAAGTAATGCATTTCGATCCGAATGCATTTTTCCACCACTTTCTGAAACTGTACAGCTGCTGTCCCGCAGACTATCACCACAGTAGCTGCTGTCCGGAACATCAACAATGCCATAATTCTCTTCCGTAATCATCACAATAAGGGTATCTTCATCATCTACCTCTTCCCTAGCAACCTTAGCCTCATCTGCATCCTTTTCCTTGCGTTTTGAGCGACATTCTTTTGCAAAATGCCCAAGCTTTTGACAATTATAACACTTCACAGAACTTTTGTCAAACAGTTTGTGGGCGCTTTGATTACCATCTTTGGAGCTTCCTTCACCCTTTGAATTTTGTGGATATTTTCCACCAAAATTCTTCTTATTTTTAGAAGTCCACTTCCCTTTCGATCTATTGTTCTTCTCATGTAAACGCGCTTGCAAAGCGATCTCCGCTTTGGCTTTGTCGGCACTTCTCTCATCCATCCTTTGTTCATGCGCCTCTAACGAACTTTACAACTCATCTTTGCTCAAAGTTGTTAGATCCTTTGATTCCTCAATAGCCACAACAATGTTATCAAAATGTGATGTTAACGAACGCAACACTTTCGATACAACATTCTGCTCAAGGATCGTTTCGCCACATGACTTGATTTGGTTGACTAATCGGGTAATGCGTGTGATGTAATCGTTGATCGTTTCTTTGTCCTCCATTTGCGTTAACTCAAATTAACGTTTGTAAGTTTGTAACCTTACCACCTTCGCTTTGACGGCACCGGCATACGCTTTCTCCAAGATTTCCCATGCTTGCTTCGCGGATTCACAATCACCAACCTTCTCGAAATTGTCGTTATCAACACAAGAGTGAATCAAGAATAGGGCTTTGTAATCCTTTTTCTTTTCTTCCTTGTGTGTAGCCCTACGAGCATCGGTAGCATCTGCCCCTAACGGTGTAACTCCATTGATGACGATCTCAAGCACCTCTTGATAACCAAACAAAACCTTCATTTGTTTCGCCCATTTGTCGTAGTTCTTCGAATCAAGAATTGGGAGATTGGTGGGAATTCGATCATTGAAAACGGTAGCCATTGTTGCAGCGGATTAGGATCAATAACCGGAGCTCTTGATGCCAAATGTTAAAACAACATAAAACATAAAACCAGAGCTTTGAAGGTAGTAACAGTGGTGAAAAGAAACTTGATAAAGATGAAATGAGAGAGAGAGAGAGAGAGAGAGAGAGAGAGAGAGAGAGAGAGAGAGAGAGAGAGATTAGGGTAGAGAATAATATTGGTGAATAAAAAATGGCATTAACATTGAATTGGGATTACAACAATGTATATATACACGCGAGAGAATAGTACAACTAATAACCAAAACCAACTAAAGTGCCATGTTGTTAAATTCTGCTATTTTCCAAAAAACTAACAGCTGTAACAGATTTTTAACAGCTCACAACAATTAAATGTACGTGAGTTCGAAATCAGAAAAACTATAGAATAATTATATAGAACACATATATACATTATAAGATATGCTTCAACATTAAAATAGATGATGAGGTTTACTTTCATAAAAAAATGTTAGGGCCTGTTCTAGTTCCTTTTAAAAAAATTTAGGCTATGTTTGTGAGTTTGAAGGATAGAGAAAAGAATGGCTTCCGAAAACGTATTTTTAAAAAGAATTATTTTATATCGAATCATAAAATAGTGTTCGTTATTATTGTATTTTTAATTTTCAGAATACTATAATAACATAAAAGATATTTGAAAAATTTATGTAAGTCATTCAAAACACCCCTTCAATATAAAATTTGAGTTTCTCAAATAAGAGAGTTTTTGGTGTTACGAAGAAACATAAATCCTCCCAATAAATTTTTTTCTATTTTTATCCATTAATCCTTCCTATTTTCCAAACCTCTCTCCTCCATTATATTCCAAACTCTCAAACAAAACCTTAGACTTTGTTTGCGAATTTGAAAGGGAGAAGAGAAGACTTCTTAAAACGAATTTTTTAAAAAATATAAAAAAATATTTGACATTTTTTGAAAAAATAATTTTATATAAAACTATAAAATGGTATTTATTATTATTTATTTTTAATTTTAAGAATACTATAATAACATAAAAGATATTTGGAAAATTTATCTACGTCTTTCAAAATCCTCATTCAATACAAATTTTGAATTCTTTTAAATTAGAGGATTTTTGGTATTACGAAGAAAAACAAACCTTCCAAAAACTCTGAAAACCAAAATTTTTATATTTTTTTCCACACAATCCTTCCTATTTCTCAAAACTCTCCCTTCGCTTCTCTTCCCTTCCCTTCCCTTCGAAATTCTCAAACAAAACCTTAAGAATTTCTTAACCATTGACTAAACACTCTTAAGAATAGTTTATTTTAAACCTTTTTAAGGACTGTTTACTAACAAAACATTTATTAACATCAAACTATTATGAGAAAACACAACAAAAAGTGTAAACAACATAAGTAAAAAGTCATTGTTCAAACTGTTAAGAGTAGTTAGGTAGTGAACCAAGCTTAAATAAATTATTTGGCGCAAAACAATCCTTAACACTTTTGATACTATTTTTTTTTATGTAAAAAATGTTAAAGAGCATTAATGTCATAAGTGTTTGAAGCGCATTGAATAAAAAAGTATTACTCTCAAAATTGAATGAAAACAGTTAAGAGTATTAATTGAAAGGAGACAAACTTAAAACGGTAAAGAGCTCTATCTCAACACATTTTGTGATAACCAGAAAAGACACATCTGTTAAAAAGCAAAAAACATGTAAAAACGAAAAAGAGCATACCTTGATGTAGGTTCTGCAGTGTTGACACAAAACAAATTGAAAAAAATGGAAGAAAAAAGTAGAGTAAAGATTCAAAAATGCATGAATAGGAACTATATGGAAGAAGAAAACAGCGTAAACATTTGCATGATCTTTCAAACAACGCTATAAAACGAAACAATGTTGATGAAATGATGACTAGAACATGGAACACAGGAGGAAGAAGGTCTAACTTGATGTTGATGATGCAACAAGAAGAAGGTCTAACTTGATGTTGATGATGCAACAAGAAGAAGGTAAAGTTGGAAATGTGTTTTAATTGATATATTTGCTAAATTCTTATTTGAACTTAGTGTAGTATAAATTGTTTAAATAGAAAATGGCAAATAGGTAATGTACATTTATATTTTCATTTTAGATATATCTATAATCTATAACTATTTATAAAGAGGATATAAATTTTGAGATTTCAGATTTTGTCCTTACCAATTTTATTAGTAAGAACATCGTTCTTCATAAAATACAATATGTTTTGGCGAGTGATGTTTTTAGTAAAATTTTAGATATGACCTTGTTAGAGATGTCTTGTTTGATATAGTCTGTGTTAGACGACGATGCTTTATCTAGAGGGGGTGAATAGATCCCAAGTCAAAATATCTAGATAAAAATTTTAGTTTTGAAATTGATTAGAAAAGAGTGCACGCAGAAGGTTTTCAAAAAATATCGTCTATACGAACCACATTATTCGAAGTCGGATATGCAAATATAAAAATGATTAGAGAATAAACACTGTAATATAGAATTTATACTTCAATCAAGTAACAAGATATTAATCGTTTATAGCAAGTTACTAGCAATACTATTTTCAATGACAATTATCAAAAGTAAAAACAAAATAATTTTTATGCAGAAAGTCACTCCTTCTTTCGGTTCTCCTTGTTCCTACAAGAAAGTCACTCGTTTTGTATTTTTATGCAAGAACAATTGTGTCGTAATTAATTGAGAACTTAGGAAGTTATAGAGTAAATTAGTCTTAAAAATAGCTCAGACCAAAAACTTGTATCCTCTTTATAGATAGTTACATATATACTCATAATAACGAGGTATAAATTTTTGGATTGAACTAAGGCTAATTTTGAAAGAGAGAGAGAGGGAGAGAGATAGAGAGAGATAGAGAGAGAGGGTGGGAGAGTGAGCATGAGAGAGAGAGGAGAGAGTGAGCATGAGAGAGAGGGAGAGCAGGAGAGTGAGCACGAACGTGTGTGTCTGTGTGAGAGAAAGAGAGATAAGGAGAGAGAGAGCAAGAGAGATAGATAGATTATACACAAATGCATATAAAAAAATTTAATACATAAACAATTTAAATTAAGACCAAAATTAAATAAAAAATATGTTAATGTTTTTACTAGGAGTGACAAACGGACATGTTTGCCCTGTTTAGGTTCGCCCCACAAAAGCCCGAAAAAAACGGAATGGAGCGGGGCAGACATAGTTAAGAGTGTCAACCTTAAACCTTGACCCTTCCTGCAAAAAATTGATGGCGGGACGGAAAATACCTGTGGGCTTTGCACTTTTTAAGCCTATAAATATAAAATTTTATGTAAATGACCGTGCCGCAAAAACAAGTAAAAAAATGGAATGAAACAAAACGAACATATTTGAGACTGCGAGTCTATAACTTTAGTCTACCACGCAAAAAATTGCGAATAGAACAATCATGTCCAACGAATCAAACCCGTTTTACCACTCTAATTTTAACTTGTGTGCACATTAAAAAAAAAAATAAACAGACACGAGAAAAATTCAAACCTAAGAGCTTAAAAAAAAACACTCTCAAAACTCAAACCTTTTTCACTAGGCCACACATTCAGACTTGGCCTCTATTAATTAATAATGTAAAATAAAAGAAAGAGCATAATATATTCCATTTTCCTTTTGTGTAACTAAATTGGATTTTGTATTTTAGCGAGGACTAAAATGAAATTTCACGAGGCAAATGTCTGGTTAAACCGTCATTATAAGGGATAGACCGAAGAGACACAGATCTCTGATAACTCCGTTAAAGTACATAGTTTCTGTGCAATGGCCACATCCTCTGTAACGGTCACCACTTCACCTTCCCCATTCATTCCTCAACGACGTCGTTTCTCCAACTTCTCATCCTCTACTCATCAACTACAAGTACTTTCTTCCACTCATCAATTTTCCACTCATCAATTATGTATTCATGATTAAAAATACTATCTTTCTCTTATTCAGGGCTCACTTCTGCAAAATAAGAAAATTAGGGTTTTCTCATTACTGAGTTTCAGTCCATTTTCTTTCAATTTGAGGAAGAGGTAATAATATTCCATGATTTATTTACACTTGTCCATGGATTTTAGGTTATATTTGGATAAACAATTTAACTGTAAGTGCTTATGTGAAAAAAGCTATTTCTATAATAGTTAGTTGGAGTTTCTTATAGCATACTCTTATTGCTGAAGGTGTGAATAGTAAGTTGGAGTGTTTGAATCTAAAAACAGGAGAACTTTGATGTGTGCAGCCAATCAAGGTGCAATGGAAGAAGTGAAAGAAAGTGGAGAAACTAATGGCTTGATAGGTGTTCTGGGTGAAGTTGATTGTGATCAAGTAAGAATTAGGGTGATTTTCTCAACTGGTTTCTTAACCTTCCTTCCATTTCATCCTGTCTTTCCATAAGGTCATCTGTTTTTGAATTTTGAGCAAGTGTACTTTTTGGTAGTCAGTATTATATGTTGAAAGATTAACTTGAACTTCACAATGAGGATGAAGGTAATAGAGCTTCTATGATTCAGATCATGTTCCAATTGTCTTTCTTGTACTTCGGTTTTATTCAAAGGAGTCAAAACAAAATGTTGTGGAACAATTGAGAGTACGGGTAAGTTTAGTAATTGGAATCAAATTAAAAGGTGATCTAGGTACAAAATACACATAATTTAGAGATAAAGATGGCAAAGTGAAGCTTGGCTAATACTAGTAACTTGTGCCTTAGAATCATTAGCAAGAATGATATTGTGAAGTATTTTAAGAGGCGACGAGTTAGAGATACGAGAGGGATTAGGATTACCAACGACATTATCAGAAGCTCCAAAATCTAAAATTCATGTGTCCACGAAGTCCGATGGCAAGCAGTAGAATTATCAATATGAGCCATGGTGGCTGCAGCGGGAGTTTGTCATGGAGCCATCAAACAATGAACCAAAAGGAAAACCACATGCAAACACCTGAAGAAAAATGTTATAACGCCTGCGAGAGATGCGCAATAACAGATACACTCAAAAACAGTGTCCAATGATCTAAAAAACTGAATAAGTAGACCTCAGAATGCAATCCTAGTGGCAAAATACCCACAAAACCAAACCGGGCTGCAGTTATGAGCCTCTAAGATGCTTTCACAACAATAAAGTGACAAAAGACCTCCAAATTAGTCCTTTAATTGGTTCTTTAATGTCACATTTTTGGTCTGCCAAAATTATATGTAACATCAAATTGGTCCTTTAATGTTACATTTTTGGCTAAATTAGTCCTTGAGTGGAGGATATGCTATATTTTTAAAGGACCTAGGTGTTTGATCTTTGTTTCTATCAAACTTAGTTGTAGATTGTGATTATTTAATTTGACTCCTGTTGAATTTTCCCACCTTGTATTGTATAACTGGATAATCTATGATGACACAAATTTATGCTTCCCTTGTCTTGTTTGGAATTCACACAATACTAGATAGAATACCAATTTGGCTATTCCATATTATGATGGATTTCAATTTTTCTCAAGGTACATGACAAAAGTACTGAAGCTTGGTCGCAATTTGCCAGAAGAATATCAGGTGAGTGGGATGGATTTGGAGCAGACTTCAGTAATCAAGGGAGCACGATCGAACTTCCAGAGTATGTGGTGCCTGAAGCATACCGAGAGTGGGAGGTCAAAGTATTTGATTGGCAGACTCAATGCCCCACTCTTGCTAACCCAGAGGATCATGTTCTTGAGTACAGGTCCGTTCAGTTACTTCCCACGGTTGGATGTGAGGCCGATGCTGCTACGGTATACAGTTCGGATGAGAGAAAAGTGGGTGGCGAAAACAGCGGAGTTACCACTTTTGCTTACCAATCGAGTGGCTCTTATGTTGCTGTCTGGCCAAAGAAGGATGACTTAATAGAGTTGGAATACTGCTTGATCAATCCTCAAGATTTTGAATCTCGGGTTAGGATTATTCAGCGTATCCGTGTATTGAATAATACAGAGATGAAGTTACAAGGTGTAAGAGTATTTCGTGAGCAGTGGTATGGACCATTCAGAAACGGCGATCAACTGGGAGGTTGTGCAATTCGTGATTCTGCTTTTGCTTCTACAGCACCTACGATTGCTTCAGATATTGCTGGTATCTGGCAGGGTTCTAAAGCTGTCACCACGTTCGGCACTACAAAAACCGTGAGTGCCAAGCCAAGGATCTCTCTTACCCTTTGTTTTACATATATGTATTTTTCTTGTTTTATCAGTTTCATTACACGGCTTTCTATTTAACTCCAGGAGATTTTTCGAGAGCTTTTAGATGATGGACTGCAGAAGTCTGTTAGAGATGGAGAAAACAATGTCTTACTTCCTAAACAGCTGTGGTGTTCGCTTAAACAAAACAAGGATGGCGAAACTATAACCGAAGCGGGATGGCTTTTAGATCAAGGGAAGACAATCACATCAAGTTGCTTATTCTCAAGCACTGCAAAGCTGAAGGCAAGTTAGATATTATTATACTGGTTTTTACTCGTGTGTTTTATTATCTAACATGATCATACTCTTCATTTTTGCAGGAAATATCAATAGCATTAGAAGCTAGAGCCTGGGAATAAGTAGAATAGCCTTAGTGGCAATTCATTCTCTGTTCCTAATTTGTTTATATCTATAAATACATCACAACCCAAGTGAAATTCATGTATAAGTATGATAAATTTATAGCAAAAACTGGCCTTATTTAAATGACTCATTTTTAGTTTGTGTATATAAGTTCTGTTCAGTTTTTATTTCTTCTTGTTCATGGTAGCTTGTTTCAGTTAAAGGTTTCGTTGCATGTTTCTGGAACTTATACTGCATGCAAATGAATTTAGTGCTTCAAAATTAAGTTGTCATTCTATGAACGTTGATCTCATTTGCAGAATTAATTTTCCTATTTCAAATTCAAACTTTTTTAGCGTCCTTCTCATATTTTTGTAGTAAAAAAATGATGATATGTCCAAGTTTAATGACATGTAATTTATATATTTTATGTTTAAAGCTGCATGAAGATTTTGTATTCCTTTATCATATTTTTACACCCGAAATTGATAACGTGTTATTTTTTTAAATGACGTTTTGTAATGATCATAGCAGTGAGTTTGTAAACCATTAATTTAAAAACTTTTGTAGTGAAAATTGGATAACTCATGACTCTTGTCTACGCATTCCACAATAAAATGCCGTTGTTGAACCTAAAAGTTGTGTTTTAAAAGAATTGACTCGGACAATGATTAGTGGAATGAGGTTGCCTAAGTGTATTTGAGGGATGCCATTAACACTGCACACCACGTCTTAAACATGATAATATTTTGACTTATCATAGAGAAGACATCTTATGAGCTACTTAAATGTAGGAAATCTAATATTTTTTACTTTAACATTTTCAGTGCAAATACTTTATTTTAAAACAGAAATGACAAACTTAATAAATTTGATGCAAAGTCCAATGAAGAAATTTTTTCAGGGTACTCATCATTGAGTAAGGTGGATAGAGTTTTCAACAATAAAATGTTTGTTGTTGAAGAATCAATGGTTTTTGATGAGACCAGGCTCCGAAAGTAGAGGAAATATAGTCTTTCTAATTTTGATTTTTGAGGTGTTAAGAATTGGTCAAGTTTGACATTCGCAAAGAGGATCCTCCAAAATAAAATAACATTGAAGATAATAAAGAGGAAAGTGAACACGAGGAAGAAAAACAAAAGACCTCAACTCATATACCTCAAGAGTGGATTGTTGCAAATGATCACCTGTTAGATCATATACTTGGCGATATCAGAAAATTGTGTAAGTACTAGATCTTAGGTTAACAATTTATGTAAGTATTATGCTTCTATATCTCAAATTGAACCTAAAATTATATTTGATGTTTTAATTGACGAGTGATGACTCTTTTCTATGCAAGAAGAGCTAATTTAATTTAAACGTGATAAACTTTAGGACCTTGTTCCACGTCCTAAAGATAAAACTGTCATTGACACTAGATGGATGTTTATGAACAAATTGGTTGAAAATGGAATTATTATAAATAAAGTTAGGTTATTTGCAAAAGTTTATTGTCGGGATGAAGAAATTGACTATGAGGAGACTTATGCTCCTATAGCCTGCTTTGAAGCGATTTGGATCCTTTTGATATTTGATTGATGTCTGGATTTTAAGTTATATAAGATGGATGTAAAATAGGCTTTTCTTAACGGATTTATAAAGGAAGAAGTCTATGCCTCTCAACCTTCTGATTTCGAGGACCATAATAATCATGATTTGTTTTTAAACTTAAATGAGCAATTTATGGTCTCAAACATGCTCTTAGATTTTGGCACGAGCGCCTTAGTAGATTTTTTTATTAAACAAGGATTCAATCGTGGTAAAGTGGATACTATTTTATTTATAAGATTTAAAGTAAATCATCTTTTATTAGTTCAAATTTATGTTGATGATATTATATTTAGATCTAGAGATGAATCTCTTTGCAAGGAATTTGTGAGTTTGATGTATGGGGAGTTCAAAATGGCATTGATGAGAAAGCTTACTTACTTCTTAGGATTGCAAGTAAAGCAAATATAAGTTCTCACGTTCAATAATCATACAAAGTATTATTTAGAGCTCCTAAAAGAATATGATATGAAAGATTCAAAAAAACATTTATATTCCTATGACTTCAAATGTGTTGATAGAAAAATATGAACAAGGAGTTGAGACCGATATTACAAAATAGAGATATCATATAATATTTACTCTATTTAACATGCGAGTATACCCTATATTATGTTTAGCGTTTGCACGTGCACTCGATTTCAAGCGTCACATAGAGAATTCCACTATAAGATCACTAAGAGTGTGTTTAGTATAATGAAATGAGGGAGAGAGAGAGAGATAAGTTGAGAGAAGCAAAGTTAAAAAGAAAGCTTGAATTTTGTGTGCGGTTTGAAAGAGAGACAGGTTGAAGAGAGTGATAAAGGTGTGAGTCCCATGACAAATTTCAATCTCCTCATAATAGAAAAGAAAGTGGAAAGATGAGGACTTTCTCACCAAAATTACATTACTCTCCTACATGACAACATATATTTCTATTTTTTGATATTTTTTATCTGTTTTGTTACTATCATAAAAAATTAAATAATATAAAAAATATAAATCAAATTAAGTAATTTATTTAGCACAGATTTATTATTTAAAAATTAATTAATAAAATTATAAAAAAATAATATTTAATCAATAAAATTAATAAATTAATTTAATTCAACCAAAGACATTTATATCTTTCCCATAAAATATGACACTTTTTTCTCTTCTATTTCTCTCTTCTTTCTTTTATACCAAATATTACATCAAATCTATTTTATTTCTCATATATTTCTCTCTTTTCATACTCTTTCTCATATATTTATCTGTTTTCAATTTTTTCTCTCAACCAAGCAATACCCTAAAAGAATTTTGAGGTATCTTAATGGAATCTTGCATCACATTCTTTGGTTTACCAAGGGGAGAAAGTATAGCTTAGCAGGACTCTTCGATTATGATTTTACTAGTTGTAAATCGGATGTGAAGAGTACTAGTGGTACTTTCTATTTGTTTGTAAATTGTTTAATTTCTTGGCACATTATGAAGAAGTATAACTTTGTTCTTTCTACCGCTGTGATTGAATAAATAACAGCCGATAACTGTTATGCATAAGTCTTATAGATAAAGCAATAATCGCAATTTAAAACTCGAATGTAATAAATTGTGATAACACTAGCGCAAAATTTTTACCCTGTACCCCTGCAGTTATCCCTCTACCCCTATAATTTTGAAAATATCTCAAATTTATCCTTTTTTATTTTCACTTTTATATTTTATTTTTTACTATTTATCTGAGACATTCGAAATTGACAAGTGTGCATCTATTCCTGCAAACCGGATAATGTGCAATGCAAAATTCCGATATGCCCATTTTCTAAACCAAAATTCTTTGATATATAAAATCCGGTTTATATTTCTTATTAACCGGATTACTTGGGTGACTGAAATTCGGTTCGTTATTATTAACGGGATAACCTAGCTTCACATTTTTCGATTTGTTATATTCACCAAGCAAAAATCATTAATCAATGTATTCTGATTATGATTTTTGTACCAATCGGATTTCTGTTGCATTGGTATTCCAGTGCCTTTTTTTCTTGCTTTTTTAATTTTATTTATTATGTTAAACATGTATGGATATTCCTTTGATATGCGATAAAAACCATGCATGCATAGATACCACAAAAATATTTTCATCAACACAATGATTTGCTACAAAAGAAGAGGCAATAAGGTGGATTAGAGAGGTTGGAATCAAGAATAAAGTGACGGTTATAAGAACTCTTTCAAATACCAAATAGGCAAGAGAGGAAGAAATGATAAAGTAATATTTGGTTGTGATAGAGGTGGAAAATACAAAGAAGAAGATAGTGAAACACAAAGTGTAGTAAGAAATGTGGTTGTCCTTTCAAAATTAGGTTAACACCGTCAAAAGATGGTTCTGGATGAAAGATTGATGTAAAATATGGACTTCACAACCATGGGTTACCTGATACATTTGAAGGTCACATGTTTGTAGGTCGACTAAATACGGATGAACAACAACATATTGTTGATTTGACAAAACGTAATATTCCACCAAGACACATACTCTTGTCATTGCAAGAGAGAGATTCGAAGAATGTCACTCGAATCACGCAAATACATAAACATAAAAGTAAGTTACAGAAAGACATAAGGGGTCCTAGAACGGAAATGCAACATTTGTTTAGGCTGATAGAAGATTCAGATTATATTTACTGGAGCGGGAAAAAAATGAGTTGAAAGTTGTGAGAGATATTTTATGGGCCCATCCAAAATTAGTGAAGTTGTTGAATATGTTTCCTATTATGTTGATTATAAATAGCACGTACAAGACAAACAAGTATAGAAAATCTTTGTTTGAAATAGTTGGTTTGACATCAACTGAGTTAACATTTGTTGTTGCATTTGTCTATATGGAATCTGAGTAGAGAAAAAATTTGTTGGGTATTGGATAAGTTGAAACATTTGTTTACTAAGCAGGGGTTTTGGCCACATATAATTTTGACTGATAGAGATCTTGCTTTGATGAAAGTAATTGAAATAGTATTTCCAAAGACAATTAATTTGCTTTGTCGATTTCACATCAACAAAAATGTGAAATCAAAGTGTAAGGAATATGTTGTGGATGATATGCAAGAGCCGATAGAGAAAATATGGTATAAACTTATAAGGGCTAGTGATGAGGTGGAGTATCATCAACGATTATAACAGCTTGAGTATGCATGTGTTGACTTTAAAGCGTTTATTGATTATGTGAAAGATACACGGTTGACTCCGCATAAGTATAGATTTTTTGAAGCATGGATCAATCAAGTGTTGCATTTGGGCAACACCACGACTAATAGGTATATTTATCTTAATATTACTTGATTTTAGCCATAGTTTGTTTATATTAATATTATGTGTACTTACTCATTTTTTATTTTATTTTAAGGGTTGAGTTAGCGCATTGGAAATTGAAGCAGATGTTGGAGAACACTTTAGGTGATATGTG